AGCCTAAGTTCTTCTCCATTTGGAAGTCTTCACAGGGCTATTTGCTTATCATTGGGCTTCTCTCAGTACAAGTGGTCTTAGAGAAAAGTGAAAGCCACAATGTCCTTTAATTAGAAATCACATGGGCTGGGATGCAGCTCAGTGGCAAAGCATCTGCCTTGGATTCGCAAAGCCCTAGGTTCGACCCCCAGCTCCAAAAAAGAACCCCACCAAAAAAAAAAAAAAAAGAGAAAAAAAGATAAAGAAATCACATATTTTCCACCAATTTATTCATTAAAAGTCAAGTACTACAGGACTGGGGATGTGGCTCAAGCAGTAGCGCGCTTGCCTGGCAAAAAAAAAAAAAAAAAAAAAGGTCAAGTACTACAAGCCCACACTCAAGGGAAGGGGAATTAGACTGTTCTGAAGGGGGGATTAACAAAGAATTTGTGAACATATTTTTAAAATACCACATACTAGAAATTATTAAAAATGGCTGGGATTGTAGCTAAGTAGTAGAGTGCTTGCCCAGCATGTGTGAGACACTGGGTTTGATTTCAGCATATAAATAAATAAAACAAAGGTCCACTGACAACTAAAAAAATATTTTACAAAAATGATAAACATGAGACATGTTCATCATTTTTATTACTTTAAAAGAATTTATTCAGAAGCAAAAATATTACCAATGTGTTCTGGGTTTTACTGTATGCATAAAAGTAAAATGAATGATTTTTGTGAGGTTTCTATAACCGTACACGAAGTGGTATACTGTTATTTGAGGGCAGACTATAAGAAGTTAAACATGTGTAAACTCTACCTAAACCACTGATGAGTGTATATTTTGGTGTTTTGTATAAAGAGTTCGAACTAATAAGCTAATAGTGGGGATGAAATCAGGAAAACACTGAATTCAAAATGTACAAAAAAATGATACAAGCAGAAAAGGAGCAAAATGGTGGATTTTAATTTAACCCTATCAATAATTACATGAAAATGTAAATAGTTTAAATATTTAATTGAAAGACAGCCAATTGAATAAAAAAGCAAGACCTAGGTATCTACTGTCAATAAGAAACCCAACTTATGACCATGTGGCATCGTGGGAATACATCAGCCCCAACCTGGAATAGGATCATACAGGAATTCAAGGGGCAAAGGATCTTCACCTTTGCCCAGATGACAATTCCTCCTCAAAACTTCAGGGCTGCTTCCCCTCATTACCCTAAGGGGGCTAGCTGTGGACCCAGCAGGACAGACAGAAGACCAGTGTTAGTGTTAGCTTGGGCTCCCTCTTCATCTTTGCTGTGCATTCTGGGAGCACTGCAGAGGACCCCCTTTTGGCATCAATGGGACATCATCTGAAAACAACATTATGCGGTATAATGCAGTTTTATTTGGACCAGAAGAGGCCAACTTTGAAGAGGCTACTTTTAAAGTAACAATAGAATTTTCTGAAGAATAGCCAAATAAACCACCATTTGGTTTTTATCTAGAATATTTCATCCAAATGTATATGCTGATGTGTTTAGACATCTTGCAGAATTGATGGGAGTCTCCTGTCAGTATAGTCTCTGGATGAATCAAATCCAAACAGTTCAGTCAATAGCCAGGCAGCACATCTTCATCAAGAAAACAAAATGAGAAGTTTCAGCCATAGTTAAACGAAGTTGGAATCTACCAGGGTAGACAACTATATATAGTTGTATATAATTTGCATCTCAGTAGAAAGGCTAACAAATTTTAAATGCCACAGGTTGTAAGGGTTCTGCAAGGAAAAAAAAAAAAATTCCTTCCTTTAGTTTGCTTGTATTTTGTAAATGTATTGCTGTATAAATTTATTACATATCCTGCTTGTAGTTTTTCCAAGTGTATAATGCTGGTGTGTTCACGAGAGTATATGCACACCATTTTGTAACCTGTACTTTAAAATATTGTACACCTTATTTTCGAATTATTAGATTTTTAAATTGGAAAAAAGCACTTGTTTTTTATATTTGAAGCTGTTAAAATACATAACTTCAGCACAAGAGACTGTCACTTATCTCCTTGTCTGTGTGAAATGGATTAATAAATGCCTCATTTTCAATCATCTGATTGTTTCCTTTTAAATTTCTTCCTTCCTTCTGTCCTCCACCCACCCCGCTTTTTGGTGCTAGGGATTGAACCCAGGGTCATTATACCACTAGGCTATATTCCCACTCCTTTGTAAATTTTTAAATTTTGAGATAAGGTCCCACTTAAGTTTTGTCCAGACCATAAATCTAAGTTTGAACTTGTAATCCTCTTGCCTCAACCTCCCAAATCAAATGGGATTACAGGGATGTTCCAACATGCCTGGTTTACTTCCAGTTTCAAAACAACAAGCTTACGTTTTATCATGAAAGTCATCAAATTTGATTTTAAATTCCAATTATAATCTCCAACTTTATTTTGAATAAACTTATTAATTTCAATCAGTTACAGACATAACTGGTTTCTGTCCATCTGTCTTAGGCCACTTGTTTTTTTTTTTTTTTTTTACTTTTATTTATCCATTTATTTTTATGTGGTGCAGAGAATCGAACCCAGGGCCTTGCACATGCCAGGCGAGCGTTCTACCACTGAGCCACAAGCCCAGCCCCACCACTTGTTTCTTCATGCATTAGCTACCATTAAATTGCACCTTTTGTGGTTTCATAATTTGCAGCTTTACTATCAGTAGAGAAGTCATGTAACTTTTGCTGGTTAGTAGTACTTTAACGAAGAAAGTAAAATCAAAAGCATTAACAAAAAGTCTCTGCTCCACTGGCAATGGCTGCATTTGAGTAAAGCAGATGTTTGTAAGGAAATTTTATGTAACTTTTTTGAAAACTGCCTTTTAATGCCACTGAATATCTGATTATTCTAGGAAACGTTTTAACACCAGGGCCTGCTGAATTGCTTTCTCTTGTAGAGACATGATCATTTCTCAAGCTGTTTAGAAGTTGGACTGAATCTTAGTTTACTGGATAAATGTAAAACAGTATTTAGAAAGGTAAGACCAAGCTTTTCCAGAAGTGTTGTCAGGCAGCGTGTACATCACCTAGTAAGTAGTATGATGGTCAAACCAAACCTCCACCAAGAAAGAGTTCTGTGGAGGGCACTGAACCCTCAAACAACAAGTGTCTGTTAAGAACAACAGATGGGAAAAAGATGATAAGCACAGTGGTGAACTCCAAAGAAGTAAGTTTCATATGGCTTACTCAAATTTATTGAGAGCTAACATGGATGGGCTTGAGAAAAAAAAAGAGCAAGAGTAAGAAGAGCAAAACAGCACAGTGAAGGGCACCAAATTCCCTGCTTCTACCAAACCAGAGTTAGTCTTTTTTTCCTTTGGTTTCTTGTTCCCCCATTGATAACTTTTTCATGTGATATTAAGTGTTGGAGAGAAAAAAGGTTGCAGTGTTTACAAGATAGTTGTGGTAAGTTTATTCCAGATCCGTGATACATCTTTGTATATTCCTGAATTATAGTTTTTTTAAATTTTCTGTTGGACACAATACCTTTTATTTATTTTTATATGGTGCTGAGGACCAGTGCCTCACCCATGCTAGGTTGACTGCTCTACCACTGAGCCACAACCCTAGCCCCTCATTAGGTGTTTTCTAATACTAATAATATCATACATCCTTATACAAAAACAGTTACAATGTCACTAGATGACATATTATGCCCTTTGTGGAATGAAACATTTGTTATGCAGTGCATGACTGTACTTCCATTGTTGCTCATTCTCTTTTAAGGAAGATGATGATGGGGATGTTAAAATAGAGTAGCAAGACCTGGTGGCCATTCAAACATGAGCGAAGGAAAAGTCACCTAATAGTGCAAAGCCAAACACCTGGCTCCTGCCACAGCCCAGCTTGGCTAGTAATGATGAGGCTTTGGGTGCCAGTGTGGACAAAACTGGAAACGGTAAGGCAGATCACCAATATGTGCATGGACAGAAAGCAAGGGTTTCTGATGCTGGACACTCATTGGATGCTGAAGGTAGAAAGGGGGGAAGCAGGAGTAGTGCTTAGGCAACGAACCTCCTGGGGACAGTCAGTGGAGAAAAATGACAACAATCAAATTTCCTCCCCAACACCATTGCTCCACTGTCTCTGCTACCAGGCACTTCCACCTTGGTCTCTTGGCAGCTATTCTATAGCATCTGATGCACACATTAAACTTCTTGGCCTTGTTCCTGTAGGGAAAAAAGTCACCTCCATTCAACTGAATAGGATTTGAACAATGGTTGCAATAGGGAAAGGAAATGAATTGTCAGGGGCTCAAGATAGCCATGGAAAGCGGAGCTGGCAGGTATTGCAACAGTGAATTAAAACAGGAAGTCAAAAGAAAAGTAAGAGTCAAGATCTTAATCACTTGCTGCAATAGTATGAGAGACTAACCCAGAAAAGGCACTTTCATTTTCCATACTTCCCCTAGAATGGTGCACTGAAGTCAGGAGAATCATCACAGATGGGCCTCTTCTCACTGCTTAGGGGGCTCTGAAAAGGCTCCTGTGTTTTGTACACAAGGTAGGGATGGGGAGATGAGGAAGGACTAGGAGTGGTAGTGCCAAGCCAGAGTACAGTGGCTTCAAATCCCCCCTCCCCCGGCCTCTCTCTCTCAGGAGGCCTCAACAGAAGCACCTGAGAAGGCCTCAGAATTGAGGAAAGTAAACCCTGAAGATCTAAGTGCTTTTCCTACTAACGGCTGGTCCTGGAACCCTTCCTACTATTTGCCTTTATAGCTCTTTTTCTGTAATTTAGCTAAATTAAAGATCAAAGATTAATATTTTCCTTGGTGGATTCTAAGTTCATTACAGTGACCTTGAATGAAAAAAAGTGAAAACAATTAATACAAAGCCTAGCATAATCAAAGGGCAAGTAATCATATCACTAACTTCTAGAAGCACTGAAGACTAACACAAGGGTTCAAAAGTATGTGTGCACAATGAATTAAAATTCCCCTATCTATGGTTATCACTAACTTAGATGGAAACAACCAAGCAAATATTGTTTCATAGCAATTGGCAGACTTTAATATTCAAGAAAAATTAAGTCCATCATACACATTAAAAATATAGGAAATTTCATGCAGACATGAAGCTTCCAATTCAGCCTTTGTGGCAACTTTTAGAAGGAGAATTACATATAAATACAGTACACTTTGTAGTTCCCAAACTTCATAATTTTATACTGTGATTTATACAGCTTCTCTTTATATTTTATATATCCCACCTCACTCATTTAACACAGCCTAAAATCTGCACCACTTCAGAATATGAAAAAGAGAGGAAAAAAAAAAAGCAAGCACACTGACCACTTTGCAAACAGTTCTTTTGTGTTTTGAGCTAAATTAAGGGGGAAAAAAATGTTAAGGCTTACATACTTTAGTAGCCAGGACTAAATTTTAAGAAATACAAAGTTAAATAAATCCTCCAGTGACATTTCTATTATTGATTAATACCACATTTTCAAGTTTAGAATATATTAACTGCAAAAGCTACAAGAAAAAAAGTGATGCAAATTTGTATAGACATTTAAAAATAATATTCATGATATGAGGAAGAAATTAAAACAAATGAAATAACTTCAGAGTTAACTAAAATATATTCTGTAATTTAGAAATACAGGTAACATTATTAAAGAATAAAACCTGATAGTAAAAAAAGAAAAAAAATTAGGCAATAAAACCAATCCACCAGTGTCAACCTGTTTTTGCCTTTGTGAGAAAAAGATCTTTTGTTTTGATACAAGTGATAAAAAATATTAGTCATCAGTGAATAAAAGGCATTTTTTACATTATTCAAAAACAGTATGTATTCCTTGCTATTCAATGGATGTTTTTAAATACTTATGCTCCTTTTAAGTTTTTTTTTTCCCTTAAAAAATAATTTTGGGGTGCTTTTCCCCTTTGCAATTAATTTCAAGTTCATTTATATAAGTAATGAGAATTTCTACCAAATAAATGTATGCCAAGTACTGAGGGACATAAACACAACATAGTTTTGTTTTTAAAAACCTCAGGTTTCAGATTTCCCTGACTTGACAAGTCAAATTAAAATTAGCTCCATGGAACCTTATCCTGCATAATGGGAGTAAAGATAAAAAAGCTCCCTTGCTGTTTGCGGAACCCGCCCCCAACCAGAAAAATGCTAAATCCAGTAATGATTCTTACAAGCTACAGGCAACGAAGGTCTGAACATTTACAATTAAGTTTTCTTATCAAAACCATGACACTTATGCTACCAGCACATTAAGTTCCTCTAATCCAAAATGCCAAAGAGATAACTTAAAGCAATCATAATCATCTATGAAAATATTCAATAAGGGTTCTTTCTTTTCTCCAAGAAAAGGTTAAAACATTATTCATCTTTGCTTTCCAAGGTACTGGAAATAGAAGAACAAACATTAAAAGAGAAAAAAAGAAAAAAAAAAAAACTGCCTCCAATATAGATCTGCTAGAGGTAGTAATTTACAGCAGCATATATAATGTTTAAGCTCCATCTATCAGGGAACAAAACTGGTGTTAATATGAAATTACATGAATGCAAGCTACTCAAAGACAGACCATGGGCAGTAATTCATCCCTGAATTTCATACTCAAGATTTTCCATAGTAATACCATTATGACAGTTTTTACTAGTATATGATTAACAAAAAAAGTGCTTGCTTTCATAATCCTGATAATCTAAAGACATTATTGTAAACATCACACTGGCAAACTGTATTCATTTCTAGTTTGAAATCATACATTTCAAATGGGCAGATTTTTATTTTCCAGTCTCCTAGCACTATTTTAAAAAAAGGCTTTTGTGCCTTACTTAGAATGTTGAGATCCCATACATTTCAAAGTGATCCATGATGAGCATGCTTTCATAAAGTGTTCCATTTAGTGTGGACGAAAGACTTAATTTCTCAGTTCCATTTTAGTGACCAGTGATACAATTAAATTTAGCATTTCATAAAAATGAAATGTATGAAGCTTCTCTAAATTCAGTTGATTTAGAAAAAATAAAGTCAACTAATTTAGATGAAAAAAAGAAATAGATACACATTTTATGTATACATTGCTCAGGAAGAAAGTGAACAAAATCACAATTCCAGATGATGAATATAACAGGATCCTTAAACTTCTAAAAATAGCATATGCAATGCACATAAAACAATAAAAAAAGGAGATTATTATGGACTTCAATACTATCAATCATTAATATGGCAGATTTGCGACAGCTTCATGAAGACACTGGAGATTAGGTTTTTTTCTGCTGCAAGACAATTCTGGGCTTCAATGAAAAAGTATATGTGAAGATTATTTCCTCCATTTTTACTTGTGTAATACAAATCTGCATGGCATAGTATATTTCTGAAAAAAGCAATAGACATTATTAAGAAAATAGACACTATTTCTAAATTTTGTTAAGAATAAGAAGGCACCACTGATTTGAGGTTGTGTCCTGTCATCACTGATAGTTGATTTTGAGTTGTTTATTTCAGCATTTGTTCTTATTATACTTTTCTGGGTGATATCACTTAAGACCATTATTGTGGCTTACGGACCACAAACAAGACACATTCATAGTAGTATTTCATCATAGAGAGATCATTCACAGTATATGTTGACAACACAGATTCTTTTTCCACCTGCAATGCAAACAATAATGATGATGATGATAATTATGATCATAACAATCCCACTAATAAATTCTGAGCCTCACAAGTAGCAGGCATTATTAAGCAGATCAACTTATTACATAGAGCTACCCCTGTAAGATCAGTACTATCATTAATTCCACTTCACATAGAAGGGTCATGTAAGTGGCTCAAGGTCATACCATGAATGCTAGAACTATGATTCAAATGCAGACAATCTAACTCCAGAGTTTGAACCCTACACTATTATAATACATTGCTTCTATTTTTAGCAAATCTGTTGGTTGTATTTTAAATGAATGGAATACTCCTAAGTAAACAAACAACTAAAACACAATAGCCAAAGTGTCAAAAAACGTGTGATTCACATGATAAAAACAGGTCAAGCAGTATGAAGAACAAAAGAACTATATTATTTTTATACCTGCCTTCCCACACTGCTCTGTTTTTCCAGAGCATAGTCTACTGGTATCTATCAGTAAGAGTTTACCAACACCAATACTATAATTCAGCTACCACTTACTGAAAGCCTATTTTGCCAGGAATTATAGATTTTCCTTTATATACATTATCCCAAATCCTTATAATCTTGAAAGCTATATTATCTTCACTTTATGGATAAGAAAACAAGAAGATTAAGAAGTAAAAGCTAGGGCTGGGATTGTGATTCAGAATATTTGCCTAGCACTGTGAGGCACTGGGGTTCAATCCTCAGCACCACATAAAAATAAATAAATATAATAAAGGTATTGTGTCCACGATAACTAAAAAAAGAAAAAAAGTAGTAGTAATAGTAGTAATGCTAGCTACTGCCATAATATCTAGATTTCTGTTTAAGGGCTTTAGAGTTAAAATTTGGCAATATTTCATTCCTCCTTACCTCTACCTGGAATCCATATTGCAGAACAACATTTTTTATATCCTCGTAGCTCAATTCTATGGAAAGTTCATTTGCCAAATTTTCAAAGTGGTACAGCAGAGGACCTGTGTGTTAAAGATACTATGAATGAATTACCTGATATATAAGCTTGCACTTAATAGCTATGTTACACTGAATGAACATCAAGCTCAACAAATTGAGCAGTAAATGAGACAAAGATAAAAAGGAAAAGACATATTTTATTCGTTGAGGATAATTATCTAAACCTCTGAAACTCTGGCCCAGTAATTAACATCTAAAACCTAGGTCTATACTCATGGTAAATGAGTCCCTGTATATCTGCCTGGCAGTGTGATTATTCACAACATGGGCCTGAATGCACCAAGTCTCTAAATTCCAAAGGTAATATAATTATAAATCTATAAATAAATTTAAAACTGCAGTTTCAAACTAGTTATCATACAAAAACAGTAAAGGATTCAAGCTAGCCCAGGTGAGAGTGTGGAGAGGCAGAGAAGTTATAGGGAAGGCTTCCTGTAAGGAAGAGGTGACACTACCTAGCTGGCTTTCATGCCCCAGCTCTAATACCTACTAACTGTGTCTATGGGCAAGTTACCAACTCTGCATCATATGCAGCATGACTCTAATATGAGATAACAGGCAATACATCTGTCATCAAAAAGGCACTAAGTCAATGACAGCTGTTATATCTATTTTTTTTTTAACTTTTTCCACTTTACTATTCTAATTCCAGTTAGTCACAGAATTAACATATGATTCAAATTAGGATTTTCCAATCTTTCAATCTCTCACATTTTGCCCAATTCATCAGCTTCATCCAAGGAAATATTATCACTTAACACACTGTACCTGATACTAATGTAGACCACCTTCTCTTTAACTTTCATTAGACTAATTATAAATCCTGCATCTAGTTTTCTACCCCAACTCCTCACTGTATGAATAGGGGTTCCTTTTATCATGGAAGATAAAAGGAACAAAAGGGACAAAGTTTCTGCTCCCAAGAGGCTTGCCATCCTGTGGGTCATACTTAGAGTTAAGTCCCGCCACGTTTTTTTTAATCCTACATAAACCACTAGAAAAAAATTATCATGAATACTATTTAAATAATGTTAGCACTCTTTCCAAAAGATAAAAATACTTTCCTAACAATTTCCAATAAGCCTACATTTCTGTCAACAGTATAGTAAAAATAATCCCATAGTTAACCATCTACCTATCCTTACTGTTGTGCCCTAAAGTATCCCTAACCCTTTTCTTAAAGAAGGCAGAGCCTCACAGATAAATAATAGCCAGAAAGACTTTGCTATCTATCTATCTGTTTATTTATTTATTTTTGGTCTTGGTATTGGAGATGTAACCCAGGGGTACTTTTCCACTGAACTACATCTCCAGCCTTTTTATTTTGGCCTTCAACTTGCCATCTTAGCCACTGGGATGATAGGAGTGTGCTAGCTTTTAAAGCTCTTTCCAGCTTTTAAAGCTTATGCTGTTCCTGTTTCACTAAGAACCTCTGATAACATGGTTTTATTATGTGTACATATATACACTATAATGATTCCTACATACTCAGGCCATATTTTACCTCTACTTATGTTGCTTTCCATCTAAAAAAACACTCTCCAATTCATGCTTTTGCCCTGCTTCAAAACACTCCTGCAATCTATCCCAGTCTTTATCCCACTGCTATTCCTCTTAATACAGTGTATCTTACAATTCACTTTATGCAGTGTTGCACCACTCATTGTAATTAGTACTGTTTTCTAACTAGGTCACAATTTAAATGTCAAGGAACAGGTCTTAAGTTTCTTTGAATTCACTAAAATGCAATCTGCTAAATGTACAGCATAAGCATCTATAATTCTGACAGACAAAAATGTGATATATATTTTCTATAGTCTTCTATTACAAATGGTATTTCAACAAATCATCTCCACACATTTCAGATTTTCCTTACAAAGATTTATTGAAAATCAGAGAGAACAAACACTTTACTGAGTTGATCTAAACTGCTAAAATGCTTTCCAAAAGATTTATAGGTTGACAGTCCCTTACCCTTGGGGCTAAAAATGTCCTTTGGACTCTGGAATATTTGCATATACATAATGAGACAGCTTAGGGAGGGGACCCAAATCTAAACACACAAAATTCATTTATGTTTCATATATACCTATATACATAGCCTGAAGGGTTTTTGTTTTTTGTAGTGTTGCGGATTGAATCTAGGGCTTCACACATGCCAGGCAAGTGCTTTACCACTAAGCTATACTCCACAACCACTAAAGGAAACTTTTGTTTTTGGTGCACACCTGCATTTTGACTGTGATTGTTATACCAAGTCAAGGTAAAATTTTCCATTTGTGGTGTCATGTAGGTGGCTTCAAAAGTTTTAGATTTTCACTCACAACTGCTATGATATGTACTTGTCTCAAAGCCTTAATGAGCAGTGGGAACGCAATGGTACAGTTAGTCTAGAAAATGGGTTGGTATTTTCTTGTGAAGTTCAAGGGAACTTTTGGGGGTAATGGAAATGAAATATTTTCTGTCTTAATAATAGTTATATGGTTTATTCCGTTTCCAAAATGAATCAAACTATGTATTTAATAGAAAGAATTTTATAATTATGTCCATTATACATCCAAAAAAACCATCTGACTTAAAAAAACAATTTTTAAAAAAACAATATTTGCTAGTTTGATAAGGGGGAAACAATAGGCCATAAAAGTAATTCGAGCATTTCCTTGAAGTTGAGCAGTTGTCCATTCTTTAAGTGAAACTTATCACAAATATCTGACACTGAACATATAAAGACAAAATAAAATATGGACACACATCTAAAAGTTTTAATTTTCTCAATTTTCACGTCTCCTGGTATTCTTGTTAGTGGCTATAATAAAAGGAACAAAGATATATTTTTCCTTGGCCATAATTATAAGCTCATAATAGAAAGCTGAAGTAACATGAAAAAGTATAAAAATAGAGTCAAACTGATTTCTAATGCACTCATTGACAAACACCTGAAAATGTCTTACCTTGCACTTTCCTAGATGTGTAATATAAGATACCACATACATAGTTTTGCATCTTCATTATGAACATTTCTCTATTGAGCTAATTATTTCTAGAGAACAGTTTTACTCTGGGGAATCTTATGACTATTCATCAACTCCACTGCTCTTAAAAATATAGGTTCAGGGCTGGGGGTAGTAGCTCAGTGGTAGAACACTTGCCTAGCACATGAGAGGCACTGGGTTCGATCCTCAGCACAACATAAAAATAAATAAAACAAAGTATTATGTCCATCTACAACTAAAAGTTTTTTTTTTAATTGTTTATAAATAAAAATAAAAAAAAAGGCAGGTACAGTCTAAGTTTTTGTTGAGTATGTCGACCATTAATCAGTCTTTATAGTCTTTGCTGGTATCTGATTATTTTTCTCTAACAGATTTCTACAAGTAATATTAACTTAACAAATGTATGTAATAGTGAATGTAATTATGTAACAGGCCAGATGACAAATATTTTAGGCTTTCTGGGCTATGTATAGTTTCTATCACTAATCTGCATTTCCTTCCCCCACAACCTATTTAAAAATGTAAAAAAACAGCACAGCAGTGCATACCTGTAATCCCGTCGACTTGGGAAGCTTAAACAGGAGATCACAAGTTCAAAGCCAGCCTCAGGAATTTAGTGAGACTCTAACCAACTCAGTGAGACCTTGTCTCTAAATAAAATATTTCTTAAAAGGGTTGGGAATGTGCCTGAGTGGTTAAGTGGCCCTGGGTTCAATTCCTAGTACCACCCCCCCCCCCAAAAAAAAACCCTGTAAAAAACAGTATTTTGAAGAATATTAAAGAGTACCTAAAATTCCCCTTAATAAAAGCATTTATAATTTGGGTTTTGTGTGAACATGTGGTGCTGGGGATGGAATCCATGGCCTCATGCATGCGAGACAAATGTTCTACCACTGAGCTGCATTCCCTGCCAAGGACTGTTTTTGGTTTCCTTTGAGACAAGTCTCACCAAGTTTCCCAGGCTGCCCTCAAACTCACATCTTTTCTGCTTTGGCCTCCAGAGTAGCTAGAAATACAGGTGCCCACCATACTCAGTTTGCATTTTAAAAGTTAATAATCCTTCCAACCCTGATTTGATGCAATTTGGGCAATATTTTCCTAATTGTACCTCCAGTGTAGTTTGTCAGTGTTGGAGAGTAGTTGGCAGTAACAGTTCTCCTCACATATGAATGTAATGATATTCTAATCTACATAAGCAGACAGTAAAGTCATTCCCAAGGGATTAATACACTCTCAATTTACACAGAAAATCAAGGCCCCAGATCCACATGGCTGAAGTCAAAACCATGAGAATGTTATAAATTCACCAACAGAAACACAACTTTATCATGTCTCTTGGAAGTCACTCTCCCCATGACACCTGAACTTTACTTTGTTCCCTCTTTCAAATGTGGAATAATATATTCATTCACAAACAGCATTCACTAAGTAGCCACTATTCCTCAGGCTCTGTCCCAAGAGACAAGGAAGCATTAGATCCCTGTTCTCATCACATTTAGAGATGAAGGGGAAGGAAAGAGAAGGAAGCAGAGCCATAAGACAGAAGAAAGATCACAAAAGGTATACATAATCCTCAAGAGATTTAAGTTATTGGGCTGGGACTGCAGCTCCAGGAGTAAATCACTTGCCTAGCATGCATGAGGCCCTGGGTTCAATCCCCAGTACAAGAAAAGAGAAGAGGAATATATGTTATCAGGAAAGCTAGAATTTTACTAGGGAGTCCAAAAGACACAGATTCACATGTTGGAAAGATCACTCTGGGTGAAACTATGGAGAAATGAAAGAGGTATGGAGGGCTGCAGACAACTTGAAGACAGGGATACTAAGGAAACTGCAATGATAACTGAGGCAAGTAATGATGAAATTAGAGCAGTATTTTTTTAACTGGAAGCATTTTTTTTCCCCCTCTCAGGGACACTTTCCAATGTTCAAAGATACTTTGGGTTGTCATAACTGGGAGGTGGTACTGGAATCAAGTAAGTAGAGACCAGGGATACTATTAACCATTTTATGATGTACAGGACAGACCCCAATTGAAGAATAATCCAGCCCCACATGTCAGTAGTGCCACAATTGAGAAACTGAGATAAAAGGGTTTACTGGATGCAGATGGTGAGACAAAAGAGGAGTGTTATGGGCTGAATGTTTCTCCCTACTACCCTACCGGTTCAAATACGGAAGCCCCAATCCCTAGTGTGGCTGCATTTGGAGGTAGGGACTCTAAGGAAGTAATTAAGGTTATATGAAGTCATAAGAGTGATATGATCGAACAGCATTAGTGTCCCTTGTAAGAAGGGACATCAGAGAGCTCTCTTAGGCACTCTTGCCCTCTCCATGCCCATGCCAAATACATAAGCACACAGTCATTGGCAACACAAAGGGAGAATCCTCACCAGATATTAACCTGGCTGGCACTTTATTTTTGGAATTCCACTCTTCAGAATTATGAAAGAATACACTTCTATTGTTTGAATTGCCCAATCTGTGGTATCATAATTATGAGAGTCCTAAATTAATAAAAGAGGTATTCCCTAGTTTGTTGGAGGAATTCAAGTGAATGACAGAATAGGAAAGGTATGAACATCATTTTCTTGAAACATGGATTTTGAAGTATCTATGATACATCCAAGTAGGACAATACTGGCTTGGAGTACAGAAATATTTGGATCAGGGACTGAATGAATAGGGAAAGTCAAGAAAATGGGTCAGAGGGACAGAAAGTAGGGATAGGAAGGGCAGCAGAATACAACGGACACTAGTATTGCTGAATGTATATACGTGGCTGTATAACCAATGTGATCCTGCAATCTGTACACGTGGAAAAATGAGAATTCATACCCCATTTGAATCAAATGTATGATATGTCAAGATCATTGTATTGTCATGAGCAACTAATAAAAAAAAAAGAATGAGTACATGGGGCTAGAAATATAGCTCAGTTGGTAGAGTGCTTGCTTTGCATGTACAAGGCCATGGGGTTCAATCCCCAGCACCACCAAGAAAAAAAAAACAAAAACAAGAATGAGTACATGACATAAATAGTGAAAAACCCTAATTAAACACCTGGAACACACCAATATCTATGGAAAAACTCATTGTGAAATTATTGTTTTTTATATTCTTTAACTTGTACATGCAAAGAATTTTGTGTATAAAGTATTAGCTTTTTAAAAAACTATTTGTAAGGATTGTGTTTTTCCATTATTTCAGTTCTTAAAATTGTTTTGAAATTCTATGGTTAGGAGTCTGAAAGCTCTAACTTCCTGTTAACCATTGTCCATAACAAACATTGCAGCCCATCTACTCTTAGGCAACAGTATGCTTTCCAGGGGCCAATTTTATTGGTTCCAGAAGATTATAAATATTATTACATAACAATAATATCAATAAACAACAAAACAAGTTTTAAAAAACAAAGTTGTTTCCATGAAAGTTAAGTGCTTTAGAAATATATAAAATCTTACCATAACCATAACTCAGAATTGGGATCAAAAATTCTGATCACATAAATAACAGGGTCATGTTAATCTTCAGCTACAAACTGACAATAAATGTCTGACTATAAACCTATCTCTACCATATATAAGCTATAGGACCTTTCTGCTAATCACCTAACCCAGTTTGAAGATTCAGTTTCTTCAAGTACTAAAGAATGATGACTGCAGTGTATAGCTGCTTTCATCTGTTCTTACAGAATTCTAAAGAAGTCTGACGTACTACTACTATTCAGGCGTACTACTACTTCTAGTCTGAGTCCTAATGGCAAAATCTCTAGAAGAATAAAACCATTAAAAAGGAAGCAGAGAATAAAACTAGCCTAATCCTGAAGACCATGGAGTCAAAATCATGTACTTTGTGTTTGTCTTGTGTCTGTGTGCGTGTGTGTTGCTGGGGATTGAACCCAGAGCCTTGTGCATGCAAGGCAAGCACTCTACCAATTGAGCTATATCCCCAGCCCACATCTTTTCTTTTAAAGTATACCTCCTCATCTTGAAAGCATTTATAATCTAGCCTTGATGTCTTTCTGAACATAGATTACATATCTCGCTTAAAAAAAAAAATGTATACAAGGACATGCATACTTTCCTTGGTATTAGCATTGTACTTCCTTTATTTTAAGGAAAAGCTGACAGTTTCCCTTAGTTTCTGGAAGGGAGGGATCATGTCACAGTCATCCATTGATTTCTATCATCAAGCAGGAGTTCAAGTTTTTTTTTGCATAAATGAAGTTATATTTCTATTCTTTTTCCTATCTATCTATCCATTGTGATACTGGGGACTGAACACAAGGGGGAGTCTATCACTCAGCCACCTCCCCAGTCTTTTTTATTTTTTACTTTGAGACAGTACTAAGTTGCTGAGTCTGGTCTGGAACTTGTTATCCTCTTGCCTCAGCCTCCCAAGTATATGGGATTATAGGTGTGCACATCATGCCCCACCTCTATTCCTTGTTAAAATCAAGGTAATCAGAAAATTTATTACATGTATTCTTTTCCTGATATATAGGTGAACTAAGGAGGACAACTTCATGACAGAAGTAAAATATTTCTCCCAAATGCTTAAGAAAAAAATAAAGACCACTCTCCTATCAGAACTATCTCTATGGCATGGGAGTTAGGGAAGACAAGGGAATGAATGCCTAACCATCAAATTAAAAATCAGTATAGTCCATGCAATTATGACCATAGCAAGACTAACCTAAATATGAACATACAATATTTGGGCTTCCACTGCTTTTGGAGGCATCACCACTAGAATGTGTCTAAAGAGAACTGCAGAGGTTTTTAAATGTGTACAACATAATTCCAACTTTCACAAACACTTAGTAAAGTCACCAAATGTAAAATAATTATAAATACTCAGAGTTATGTGTAAAATTTTAATAAATACTGAAGCACTTACCAAGATTTATCCAAATTCCACCTGGCTTGAGTATTTTCCATATGGTATCAATATAATCAATCACATTGTGAGCTGTGTCTATGAAGAAACAGGTGGCAATACAGTCCCAGGTATCTAGTCAAGAAAAATTAAATCACTGCATCTGTTATCTTGCTTTTTTCCTTCAAACTGATCAGCTAAAATATTTAACTGTAGTGCTACAAAAGCTAAACTTTTTTTTTTTTTCTTTGCAGTACTGAGGATGGAACCCAGAACCTTGTGTATGTTAGACAGGAGCTTTACCAATGAGCTACATCCCCAGCCCTTTTTGATTATATTTTGAGATAGGGTCTCACTAAATTGCTGAGGCTGGTCTTGAACTTGTGATCCTGTTGCCTCAGCCTCCTGAGAAACTGGGATTATAAGTGTGCACTCCCACCTAGTCAGAAGCTGAATTCTTTTGATCACCACTATAATCAAGATAACCAAATAGTCATTTATGGGGGATACTCTATAGTTAGTTCATAAGTGTTTATCAATAATCTGAAAAAGTGATCAATTTGGAATTCATTCATAATAACATACATCACTAGAATCATTATCAAATGATATCTGTAATTTTTACCATCTATTTACTCTCCCCCTCCTTCTTCTGAGGGCCTTGCACATGTTAGGCAAATACTATACCACTGAACTACACCCCAGCCTCCAGCTTTCATTTACAATATATTAAGACAATATAATAGTCATTTGAATTTTAGAATCTAATATGAACCTATGCTAATCACCAGTTCTAGTAGGCTTTACAGAGACTACAGGCAAATTATTGCCATTTGAAAAAATGAATGACATCAAATAATCTAACCACTCCCAAATCACCAAGGAAATGAGGGGCCAAGGGCAAGTAGACACCCAGCAAAGAATACTATTTACCTCTTGAAGGCTGTGGCCTAGCACAATGATAGGGACCAGAATGACGTGGTCGTATTTGTACCAATGCTGGTGTAATGAATGTACCCAATCCCAGCAAGGATCACATGCACTGTTATCTTAAACTCTGGTCCAGAAAAAGGAACTCTTAGGAACTTATCATTCTTTCCTCCACTCCTATTTCTCCATTTGGGATGGCAATGTCTATTCTTTGTACCAAAGGCACATCCTATGCATCTTTCTCTTTTTAATAGAAATACGTATCTTATCCCTAGGCCTATTCCATATATTTTGGAAGCACAAAACTCGGTGCACACATTCACAGCTAAAGAGGAATTCTGCTTCAGGTAAAACCCTCAAGTCTCACCCATGTCTGATTTAGATAATCTTTAGTATTAATGGTGGAACATGTGAAGACTTTGGGGACTGTTGGGATGGAATGAATGTGTGTCCCAAACAAGAAGGACATGAATTCTGAGAAGCCAGGAGAAAGAATTCAATTATATTGTGTCCCTCCAAAATTTATATTTAAACGTTCAACATGATGGTATTTAGAGATGGGGACTTTGGGGGATAATTAGATTTGGATTCAGTCAAGAAAACAGGGTCCCAAAGACCAGATGGGTGCCCTTATAAGAAGGGATATCAGCTCACTTGTGCACACACTGTTGTCCCCCACCACCCCCTCTCCCTGACAATGTAAGGACTACTCCCTCTGCAACACAGGGAGAAAAAAACTATCTACAGGCTAGGAAGAAAGTCCTCACCAAAGAATCAAATAAGCCAGCACCTTTAACTTGGACTTCTTGGTTTCCATAACTGTGTGATAATAAATTTCTGTGTTTAACCACCCAGAAAAAGAAAGTGACTTATTTGCTTAAATGAGGTTTTCCATTATTTGAGCCCCTTTTCTGAGATCTTGCTGCTAACCTCTTTTATAATAGTTCACATCTTCCAGTTCTCCCTTCCTAATGTCAGAGCACACAGGCCCAATCTCAGAGTTTGGGGAAAAATAAACAAAAATTTCTACATTGCTAAAAATATGTATAACAGTGGATGTGTAACCGATATGATTCTGCAATCTGTATACGGGGTAAAAATGGGAGTTCATAACCCACTTGAATCAAAGTGTGAAATATGATATATCAAGAACTATGTAATGTTTTGAACAACCAACAATAAAAAATTAAAAAAAAAGAACTATGTAATGTTTTGAACAACCAATAATAAAAATTAAAAAATAAATAAATAAAAAATAAAAATGAATAATAGATTAAAAATTTCTATGTTGTCCTTTGCTCTAAAAGCCTTCCCACCAATGGCTTCCTGTCTCTCTCACAGTACAACTCAAAGTCCTTGCTATGGCTTACAAGTCTACCTCACTAACCCTCTGCCCTCAAACCCCACACTGTGCTCAGTACTTAGTGACTCTCTCTACCCCCAACCCTCTTCGTCTCCTACTCCCTCTGCAACATTTTCCTCCAAATCTGCATGCATTGCTTATTCACTCATTTGAGGTCACCTCTGAACATTTTTAGTTTCTACTCTTAGGCCTTCCCATTTTTCTTCCTCACAATATTTATTTGTTCTTATTTATCTCTCCCTTCTAGTGTATGAATCTCCTGTGGACAGGAACTTTGTTTTGCTTACTGTTCTCTTCTGAATGCCTATAACATACCTGAGGTAAGTGCTCAACAAATATTTGTTGAAAGAAGAATCTCACTGATTGCTTGGCATTTTGCTTTTCTTATTCCTTTTAGTCTTAATCCCTCTCTTCTCTTTCCCCATTACTATCTCCCTTTCTCTAATGCCTAATTCAAATGTTTTCAACCTGATTATAAAGGTCTTCCATATTCTGGAACAACCTACTTTTCCAGCCATATGTCTCACTAAATCTCTTTTCCTGCCAATCTAGCTATGCCATTGTCCCCGATGACCTCATTCACTCTTACCTTTATACCTCTGCCTGCCTGAAGTGCTATTTCTCCCTATTATTCAAATTGCGGCCTCTCTACAAAGAGCCTACATAAGCTTCTCACACTAGCTTACTTTCATTTTCACTACATTCAATACACATTTGAACTGTTTACATATGGTCTTATATTAACAGACTCAATAAATTCTGAATTTCTTGGTTACAGATGTTTCTTTATATTTAGTATCATTGCCTTGTGCATGACCTGGAAAATAGTCCAAATTGTCACTGAAGTATACTTTGTATTCTACCATCAAATGAATGACCAAAACATTGGCTCATTAAGTTTCAATAAAGCATAAGACCTTTAAAATATTTGCTTTGAACTTACTGCATTCTGAATAAATCTCCTGAAAATCTCCTGCTGTCATAGAAAAGTTAGAACCAGGAGGAAGACTGTGGGGGTCAACATCTGGGAAAAAGATGGGTCGTATCTGATCAGCTGATCTCCGGTTATTGCTAAACTGATGGATCCAGGGATAAAGTTTATATTTATTAATTTCAGAACATCTGTAAAATATAAACATAAAATTTAGTGTTAACATTTTACCAAAAATAAATCTACTTTAAATTATGATGTTTGAATGTAAATTTGCATTTATAGTTCATTTGTGCCAACCCTACCCCCCAACTCATATAGGATAATGTACATATACATATAGATGAGCAACCAATCATGGATTAAAAGACAGAAAAAAAATTAAATTCAGAGATATAAATATGCTACTCATTCAAACTTATAAAAATATATTTTTAAACTTCAAAACCAAGTAAAATCAGTCCAACTAATTTTTAAGAAACAGTACTGGCTTCAACTAAAATAGTCTGCTATTAATTTTTATTATTTTAGACAACCCTCTTCAAAATTTTCCCTTTATCACCAACCCCCTAAAACTCATACTGCCATCAGAGACAATATTATTTAAATAAGGCAGCTATTTGTTTTCCTCTAACACACACCTTCTGACTTTAGAAATAACAACTCTTTTCTACTACCTTCTAACAGAGGCCAGAGAAGTTCTCAGGGATTTTTCCAACTCAGTCATGTAAGTGTGCCTGGCCATTTTATAACACAAGGAAAACATAATCACAATTGCTTCACTAAATTCTTATTCCACTAAAGGAAACAAAGGGTTGAAGAAGTTTAAGAAATGATGAGAAAATACTCCTTCCTTTGTTGTAGGACTTCAAAGATTCTGTACAGAAATCATTTCAGTTTCATGGAAGACCCACTTTTTAAAAGTAACTTACTCATCTTGTGTCAACATTCTATTAATTAGGCAATAAAGTGGTAATCTGTATAAGCATTTTGAATTTAACACAAACACTGATGATCTACATTATAAATACAATGTACTTTTCTTAAAAAAAAAAAAAAGGTAAGTCAATCTGATTCTGAGAAATTACTATTTCCAGCAAAAAATAAATTAAATACCTGTTCAGAACAAAGTTGGAAGAAAAGAGCATAAAAAAACTCCATTCATTTCCTTGACAAGCATAACCTAGCATAGCTATTTCCCAGGCCAGTCTTCCTAGTCCAGCACCAGGTACCAGAATATTTACTTTAGAAGGATCCCTGAAATGAAATAAGGCAATTATATCCAACCCCTCAAAGGAAAAAAATTAAAAAGAAAGACAAAATCCATATTAACAACTAAAAACTTACTCCATTGTTCAATAAGAATAAGCTTGTTTCTTAAAATTGAGAAAGAATAAAAAAGAATAATCTGATTTCTTAAAATTGAGAGATACTTGTGAATTAAAAAAAAAAAAAAGCTTAAGGACTTATCAGAGGTGTTCAGATATCAGACAAGAGTTTATTCCCTAAAATTTATCTTTCAGAAAAAAAGGAGTCACTTTGTAACTGAAGATCTATGAAGGTACTCATATTTCTAAAAGCTGTTACCTGAAAATTAACTTATTCCTATGATGAATTTAAACAAAATTATTCCATCAAGAGATAATAAAACAAAACATAACTTTATGCTGAATTCTATATGTAACACAATGAATTGTAAATCAAACAGATTAAATATGGGTCAGGTATACCTCTAACACCATATAGATTTCAGATGGAAAAAGAATGGAGTAGTACTTTCATGGGGAAAATGGGAAACTGCCTTGTAATTGAGCATATATGGCAGCAAATATATATAACACCAAAACACAGGTTCACAACTGAACTTATCTCTATTTGCTAGCACCACACTGCTATCATACATTTTCTTTGTTGTAAGTTCTAATCCTCCACTTTGAAACTGCCAAAAGCCTTAGCAAAACTAGGTCTTTTCTCAGGAATTCTGGCAAATCAACATAATCCTGAGAAAAGCAAAATGTATTTCTATAGGAAACTAAAGAAAAATATATACAATCAGCTGGCATCATGTCAAAAAGGAATCTCAAAAGAAAAAACATTCAGAATAATTTTTTTTTTTTTTAAAAAAGGAATTTCACAATTGTATACATAAATTTGGGTCACAAATCAAATTCAATTTCCAAACCTACTCCTATTTACAATTCCATCATTAAACCACATAGACTTAAAGTCTGGCATGCTCAATCAGAAGAACAACATTTTATTAGTAGTCCATATGAGAATTTTTGCATATCCTACTTTAAAATGAATAAGCAGGGGCTGGGAGTTGTAGCTCAGTGGTAAAGCCTTACTTGCCTAGAATGTGTGTGTGAGGCACTGGTTTGAGCCTCAGCAGCACATAAAAATAAAGTTATTATGTCCATCTAAAGTTAGAAATAAATAAATTAAATTTAAAAAAATTTAAATGAATATACAGCTCTTTGGGACTTTTGCAGATATAGTATCCTGGTAATTTGCCTAAGGTGATTCAGTCCTACATAACTAAACATGGACACGTGTCTGTATGAACACCTTAACAAAGTCTGCTTGATTCACTTAATTATATACAAAAACGATAAAAGGAAGTTTGTTAAAAATGGGTAACAAATAGACCTATTAAAATAGTAAGGTATGTTTAGTAGTTATCTAGGCGAACAAACACCAAGTAGTTAACAGTATTCACTAAGATAAAATAAAATGGAACACTTTCTTCTTGTTCTAGATTATACACTGTGTGCTTGTGTATTTATCTATACTTTAATTTTAATGAAGAGGACGGACCTATCCTTTTACTTTGTTCAGGTTTACCTATATCAGTCACTTAATGAGAATATGCATATTTTTAATACTATACTTGAAAACTCCTAGTTCTAAGATTCAGTGCTCTTCCTTGTATAAGAATCTGCACAAAAACAGTCTACCTGGGCCTGAATCTCACTTTCTTCTCTCTACCAGACAGACCAACAACCCGGCTCTCCAGAATTACCCCCTTTTTTCAGTTTCCACTGCTCAATCAAATTTTGTATTTCTACCTGAATGCAGTTCTCAAGAGTTAAAAAAAAAAAAAAATCAAGGTAATACAGCAGGGCAACAGGAAATTATAGGATTTGGAAATAAATTCAGTCTTTATTTTTAAAAAATCACTAGTAATGAATTTCTGCGTAGCTGATGAGTAAGTAAAAATACTACCACACCAAAATTAGAAATTAACTTTAAGGAAAAGTTGTATTTTGATAATTTATGGAAACTTTATGACTACTATTTTCAAATTTTCCCTAAACAGAACCAAAGAACTCTCTACCTCTACCTTGTGGGAGAAAATATATTCATATGACTCTGCTAAAAGACTATCATCAAGCCACTGAACAAAAAACATATCAAGGTTCTACCTTAAGAATTAGCAGAGATTATTAAAGAGCTACATATTTTATGACAAAAGGACTTCAGTGGGCACATATGAGAAGAAATATTAAAACAAACCATCTATAGAAGGGAAAAAAAAAAAAAGATCAAAAACTAGCAAAGAATGGGTGAAGATGAAGAGAATTTCCCCCTAAACCTGTTCATAGCTAGAATTCTTCCAGTGGTTCTTTACATAATGGACATTAACACCATACTGGAAAGTTCCTCTAATTACAATATATATGAAACTAAATACTTGAATGGTTATAAATCATTAAGGCATCTAGGGTTTTTCCATAAAGGTATTTCTGTGGAGCATAAGAGATAAACAAATTTAATTATAGACTTTAATGATAAGATGATTTTAAACCAACCTGAAACAACTTTAAAAAACCAGGAAGAGTGCCTGGTGTGGTAGTGCACACCTGTAATCCCAGCAACTCAGGAGGTCAAAGCAGGAGGATCTCAAATACGAGGGCAGCCTCAACAATCTAGCAAGACCCTGTCTCAAAATATAAAATTAAAAGGACTGGGGATGTAGCTTAATGGTAAAACACCCTAGATTCGATTCCCTGTATCAAAAATAACAATACAGAGAATAGGAATATTATAGTATATAGCTCAGTAATTAAATGTAGCCTGTGTGAGATTATTAGCAAAAAGAAACACGTCCACCAAGTTAATAAGATACAACTATGGTAAAGCAGTATATTTACTACAGATGTGAATCCTCAAATATATAGGGTGTAAGTGGAGTAAGTTTCAGGAATTATTCAAGACCAGAATGGATAAGAAAAGGAACATGTAAGAGCACACAGACAACCATGTCTAAAGAAGCCATGGACTATTTGCTATATTTTGGCTCCAACTATTTTGTTAACAATTTTTTGTTGTTGTTGTTGGGGGCAGCAGGGGTTCTGGGGACTGAACCCTTGGGTGCTTTATTAAAGTAGCTTCACCCCCAGCCTTTTAAATTTTCTTCTTCTGAGATGGCACCTTGCTAAATTATATAGGCTGGCCATGAACTTGCTATCTTCCTGACTCAGCCTTCCAAATAGCTGCAAATTACAAGTATGAGCTACCAGGCCCCACTAAATATTGTTCTTTATAGAGATTTACTTTATTATATACACAATGTTCTTTGCTTTTAGGTAAGTTAGAAAAGTCCCCAACACTATATCATATTCTTTTATCAACATGGTGACACTTGGCTGACCCCTAGTGGTAGGAATACATATAAGTTTGAAGTACCAAAAATGGTTCTACCAATCACAGCTACCAATACAGTAAAAGGCACTAATTACGTGTGCTATTAAAATGGATAAACTAATATGTTATAAATTTAAAATAAATTGATTTTGCCAGGCACAGTGGCACATGCTTGTGATCCCAATGATTCAGGGGGCTGAAGCAGATGGACAGCAAGCTCAAGGCCAGCCTCAGCAACTTAGCCAGACCTTGTTGCAAAAAAAAAAAAAAAAAAAAAAAAAAAATTAGAAAGGGCTTGGGGTATAGCTCAGTGGTAAAGCACCCTGGGTTCAATCCCTAGTGCCTTAAAAAAATTAAAAATTAAAAAAAAATTTCAAAGACTTGATAGAGAAAAGAAATGAAAAATGTATCAGCAATCTTTTTGATGACAGGGTGAATAATGCTTTGGATATACTGGGTTATTAAAGCATATTATGAATATTTTTATTTTAACCTTTTCATGTGGCTACTAGAAAATGATAACTACATATCTGCCTTGCATTTGTGGGTTGCACTGTTTCTACTGAAAACTGTACTGATCAGATATATCATAAAAACATTATACTGAGCAGGGTCTGGTCATGTAGGTCAGTGATAGAGAATATGGCTGATCAAGACCCTGGGCTCAATCCCAGACAACAGAACAACAATAAAAACAACACAAACACACTGTATAAAAGCCAATTGTAAAATGGTACTATAAAATATTAGATAAAACTTGAAAACATACAGAAACAGGTTTTTGTAGGCTTTTGTTTTGAGATAGGATCTCACTATGTTACTCAACCCTCAAGAACTCTTGGACTCAAGTGATCTTCCACCTTGGTCTCCCAAATACCTGGGCCTACTGGCATAAAACACTGTACCTGAAACCTACAAGGTGTTTTTTTTTTCTTTTCCTTTTGGCAGTGTTGGGGAACACAGGACCTCAGGTATGTTTGGCAAGAGCTCTACCACTGAGCTACATTCCCAATCCAGGCCCTAAGATGTGTTCTTTAGGAGTATATAAACATTAAGTTAGCATAGTAACTGAAGGTTCAAATAACAAAGCAAATAGATGTTAGTAGTTATCTCAAAAGACAGGGAATGCTCTGAATGGTGTGCAGGGCAGTTTCAACTTTACCTGTAATGTTTCTTTGAAAAAATAAAAATAAATTTGAAGTAAATATGGTAACATGTCAAGGTTTAATAGACATTATTATGCATCATTAAAAATGGGTTAAAATTAGTAGTATCTATTGCTTTCAAAAATACTGTCCCAACTGACCTTTTCTTCCACTCCCAATTCCCAAAGAACTTATTTGAGCCAGACAAGTTTTTGCTGATCTCAGAAAATACTTACTCATCTTACTCTTTAGCACGCCTATAAACCACAAAAACTCATTTAAAATTATTAGCTTAATCAGCATAAATGATAACCTCAATCAACTATGGTTCCCAAATATCGGGGACAAACCTTGAAATCACTTTATGCTGTCAGCACTTCAGTCACACACCAGTTAGTAATCTCCAGAGACCATACTGCCTGTAAAGTCTAAAATATATACTAACTGGCATGTCAAGAAAAAGCT